TTGTCTTTTCCAACAAGAATAAGCACTGCGCGGAGAAAGCGGGGGACTTCCAGGATGTAACCGGGGGATCGTTTAGAATAGCATTCAAGGAGCAAGCGGTGCAAGCGGAGAGAAGGGAGAAGGGAGGTGAAGAACGGGAGGGAAAAGGAGGCGGAGGAGGAACAGTAGGCGGTGGACCGCTGTAAACCCAAGACGCAAAAACAATGTCGCAAGCAACCCTCCATCCACGTTCCCCGTTTCGCACGCCTCTGCAAGAAATTATGCGTCATTGCGGGAACTGTCCCCGTTGGAAAACAGCCTCTTGGGAGTCCTTAGTCGTGCCAAAACATCACTCTTTGGACTTCAGTGCTACGAATCAACGTCACAATTCCGTTTTGTCAATCGCAAACCGTGCCAGAACACCCTACGTGAGACTTCACCGCTGACCGACGCGACGCCTCAGCTGCGTCCTGGTAAACTTCGACCGCGCCAAGAAACCACTCTGAGCCCTTGACACGGTGGCGAACATTGACACATGCGCGGGGCGCTCTGGCAAAACTGACACTTGGGGAAAGAAGCGTCTCCATCCTTGAAGCGGTTGAGCAATGTTACAACGCATGTGCGGAATGCTAACCGCTAGCGCGAAAACCGCACGTTGAAAACTTGAAAGCGTGAATTATATAGAGGCGTTGCGCGTGGCGTGCACGCGGGGGCCATTCTGTTATACAAAAAATCACGCCGTTCATTGTTGAAACGGTTGCGTATATTGAAAAAGAGGTATGCGTTCTGCTGAGGCGATAAACATAATGAAGCCTCCGGTCCGAGTCGGAGGATCGCGCCCAAGCCGAGAATGCCTTCGCTCAGGAGACGACATCGCAAATGTTGCCGCCGATAAGGACGCCGAAGAGGATCTCCGTGAGGAGAACGACGGCCCGAATGGGCACTATCGCCCCCCACCCCGCGCCGGAGCGGCGTCGAGGAAAACCTCCCCCACGATGTCGCCGAGGGGTTCGGGAGCGAGTTCGCGCGAACCCCAGCACCATCGACGCGGACGCGGGCAACCCCGAAGCGTGCACCGACGACCGTGCCAGTTCGCCCTGCGTGCTGGCCCTCCACGGTGCGGACGCGAGCGCCCTTCTGCCTGGGGGGGGCAGCGCTGTCCGCAGCACGTGCCACAGGAGCCGCAATCCTCCACGGGCAATCGCCCAAGGTGTCATCGGGTAGGTCCTCACCAACCTGCGCGGCCATCTCCACCTCGACCTCCTGGAAGGGGCCAACGAGCGCCAGCGGCGCCGCGGCACCACCAGGTGGCGGCGGGCCGCCCTCACCCGTGCAGCTGTCTCTGCCCTGCGCGTCGCCCTCCATCGCCCTCGCTGGTGCCGCGAATCCGGCACCCGCACGCCCGCCTCGCCCACGCGGGCTGCGCCGCCGCCGAGAGGCACCAGCGGGCGACGCCCGCCACATCGGAGGGAGCGAGCGGCGCGGACGAGCGGCGCCGCCAGGACAGCGACGGCCGACTGCAGGAGACCCTGGGCGCCCCTCGCCAGGCGCTACGATCGGGGCCTTGACCTAAGGAGCCCAAAATAAGGAACGAGGCCCCTTTTCTTCCACAAGTCAAACTCCGATCCCCGATCGAAAACATAAAGGGAAACCTGGGGCAAGCTGCGAAACACTTAAGGAACGCGGAGCCCTTGGACGCCCGAGTTATCCGGGGTAACTCGGGTCCGGGGTAACTCGGGTTTGGGTTCCCGAAAAACGAACCCGAGTTAGCCCTGACCCGAGTTGCCCCTGATGATTCGGGGCTCTGGACGCCCGAAATGTCCGGGGAAACTCGGGTCCGGGATAACTCGGGTTCGGGCTCCCGAGAAACGAACCCGAGTTAGCCCTGACCCGAGTTACCCCTGATAATTCGGGGCTCTGAAGCCCCTCCCCAACGAAAAGGGCTCCTTCTTCAGGGCCCCGACTGTAGGCCTGGCGGTGCTCGCCCGTCGGCCCGGCAGCGGCACGCGCCGCCCAGGGCGAGCAACGGAGGGCCTCCTGCGACGCCCGCGCACGGCGGGCACCCGGCGCACCGGCAGCGGAATGGGCGGCGGCGGGGCTGGCGAAAACGAGGAGGGGGGGGGAAGGAGGGGGACGGGGGGAGGGAAGGGAAAAGGGGGAGGAGGAGGAGGAGGAGGAGGAGGAGGAGGAGGAGGAGGAGGAGAAGGAGGAGGAGGAGGAGGACGGGGGGAGGGAAGGGAGAAGGGATGGGAAAGGGGCGCGGCAGGCAGGAGGCGCAACCAGAGGGCGGCCGCGGGCCCGACTCCGCGCAGCTGTGCGAGGGGATGGACAACACGGCCCAGGGGGCAGCACGTTCTGCCGCGAGGGCGCCCCGGCGCCGCCCGGAGGTCATGGCGAATAGCCTCCCATCCCCCTCCTCTCCTCCTTCTGGACTACTCCTCCTCCTCCTTCTCCTCATCCTCATCACCACCACCATCACCACCACCATCATCAGCATCATCAGCAGCATCAACATCAGCATCATCATGAGCATCAGCATCATGATCATCACCACCATCATCGCCATCATCATCATCATATCATAATCCTCCTCCTCATCATCATCATCAGCAGCACCATCATCATCATCATCATCATCATCATCATCATCATCATCATCAGCAGCAGCAGCAACATCATCATCATCATCATCATCATCATCATCATCATCATCACCATCATCATCATCATCATCATCATCATCATGATCATCATTAACAATAACATCAACCACCTCCTCCTCCTCCTCCTCCTCCTCCTCCTCCCTCTGACTCCCCCTTTTTCTCATCAGTATTATGCACCGCTTCCTCCACGTCCCCCTCCTCCTGCTCTTCCTCCACCTCCTCCTTCTCCGCCTGCGCCTCCGCCGCCGCCTCCTCCTCTTCCTCCCCTCCCTCCTCCTTCTCCTCCTCCTACTCCTCCTCCTCCTCCTCCTCCTCCTCCTCCTCCCCCTCCTCTCTCTCTCTCTCTTATTCTTTGCTCACGCGTTTCATTGTCACGTCCGTTTCTACTCCGTCTATCCCCCTCCGCTTCCTCCTACAGATGCTCCTCTTTATCAACATGCACTTCTCCTATACTCTCTGCCTCGTGATCTTTGGATCGCCCTGTTCCGCCAAGGCGGCGCTCGGAGCCCGCTTTGATCGGGCCGGCTTGGAGAATCCCAAATCAAAACGGGGCCACTGGAACGCCGATCCGACGACGTTCCTTGGTCCATGACTTCTGTGTCATCGCTTGTTTGCCGCGCGCTTGGGTCGCTTGGCTTGTGCTGTCGTGGGCGGCGAATGCCACACGGGCACCGATTAGCATACCGCGTCACGTGTGGTACAATGTGACGAGGCAATCGTCGAGGGTGCGCCGCCAGTTGCCCTAAAGGAATGGGTGGGTCGGGCGTGGACTAACCCGGCTCAGCGCAAGCCCGGCTAAGCCAATTCCGAAAACAATGCGCTACCATTTTCTGGGCCACCCCCAAAGCCGCGAACGGGCCCAAAACCCGGCTCAGCCAAGAAACCGGCTTTGCTGCAGGATCCTGCAGGATCCACCTGTTCTGATCCGTCGTCCTGGAGTCCGCCCCTCTCCAAGAGGGGGGGATACCCCCCTGACATCCCCAGCCAGAGATTGGACCCCCTCCCCCTCCCCGCCTTCCGGGCTTCCCCTTTCGGGCCAGGAGTGGCACCTCCTCCTGCCCTCCATGACCCTTAACCCCTGAGCCCCAAACCCCAACACCCTAATCCTGATCCTCGAAGCCCTAACCCTAAGCAATAACCATAACCCTGATGCCCAAACCCCATCCCCTAACCCCTCACCTCCTGACCCCAAAGCCCCACCTGACCTCAACCACGAGCCCCGACCTGAACCCTAAACATTAAGCCCAATGCGATGGCACTAAACCTGATTACCCAAGACAACAACACCGTCCTAACACGCTACCCGTAAGCGCTAATCATAACCTTAAACCCTACTCACGAATGATTTACTTGGTGGCGAACTTCTTTACGAAGCCGCTACAACATTGAGTAGTGAGGTACCTAAATCTTCCCTAGCTGGAGAATATGACGTACCGAGCGCTCTAAAGTCTAGATAGCGCGCCGAGCGCACTTAGCGATTCATCATAGACAGCGTCACCAAAATCCAACCAGCCGTCTTGGCTGAGGTAGGGCGTTTCCTCTTCCAGCTTCCTCTCCCCACCCTCTCCCCTTGGGTCTGGCCCCACCCCCCCTCCACCCCAGATCCTCCGCCCCCCTTCCCTTCTCCCTCCACCCCCCCTCCACCCCTCCTTCCACCCCGCACCCTGAAATCCCGTCCAAACCCCCCTCCCCCTCTCTCCCCCCCCCTCCCCCTCTCCCCCCCCCTCCCCCCCTCCACTCACACCCCCCCCCCCTCCACTCTGCCCCCCTCCCCAAACCACCACCCCCTCTGCCCCCTCCGCAGTGCCGGAGCGCCTAGGGAGCCCAAACAAAAACTCTGACTTCACCCTTAAAGCCCCTCTTCCTCTGCTTGTGTTCCTCTGCTCCGTCTGCTTGCCTTCTTCCCTGCTGCTGCTGGTCCCCCCCTCCTCCTCCTCCTCCTCCTCCTCCACCTACTGCTGCTCTTCCTCCTCTTCCTGTCATCGTTTTCGTCATCGTCATCATCGTCATCATCATCATAGTCATCATCATCAGCAGCATCACCATCAGCATCATCATCATCCAGCACACCCTTCCCCGTGGGGAGAACATCTCTTTGTTCAACTGCATCTTGCGACGCTTCCCTAATCAGGGCAACTCGCCTGGGCATCGTGTCAGGATGGGCTGGTGGAGACACGCGAGGCGTCAAGAAGTAAGGCCGTTAGTTTCGAGGTATTGACCCCCGGGCACGTTCAGGCGTCACAGTCGCAACGTAGTAGATTTCGGCAATTATGAACTTGACAATAGCGCCAAAAGCATAACCCGAACACTTCAACCCTGAACCATCCTAAACCAGAGCCCTAAGCTCAAGGTAAAGCCTCAGACGAGGTACCGCGGGTCGGGCTTGAACCACGGCAGGAGGGTCATGAAGAACATCACCACCAACTGGTAGAAGAACCGGGCCGCGTACCTGGCGGGAGGCCCAGAATCAAGGATGCTGCCACTTCCGTGCCCGAGCTCAATCCACCCGTTCCTCCACCTAATCGCCCCGTTCTCTTCCCCCTCCTCCTCCTCCTCCTCCTCCTCCTCCTCCTCCTCCTCCTCCTCCTCCTCCTCCTCCTCCCCGTCCTCATGTTCCTCATACGCTGACTTTTTCCCACAACTTAGACGGATGTTTTGTTTTCTCTGGAAACCCCAGCGAAAGAGAGTGAACACCCCCACGTCATCACCGTCCTCACGACCACTCCACTACCGTCAATCGATCATCGGCATCATCATCATCATCATCATCATCATCATCATCATCATCATCATCATCATCATCATCATCATCATCATCATCATCATCATCATCATCATCATCGTCAGCATCAGCATCAGCATCAGCATCATCATCACCACGACATGTTATTCGCTCACACACTCATGCACTCATATTCAGGATATTTCAAGCGCAAGCCTCGTCGGTGAGCGAAGTGCAAGGAGATCGTTGGTCTCCCATGGGGCCCGACGCTCACAATGCCAACCTCGTATGTGAGTGGATTGCAAGAACATCTCACGCGGAATTCCCCCTCGACATGGGGCCCGCATCTCGTGTTATTAACCCGAGAAGGTCATCGGAAACCCGTACCAGTTGTCACGTCCGCCCCCTTAGGTAGAAGCTTGAGTCTAGATGAGGCCTCAGGGCGGAGCACCGCGTGTGGATTGCGAGGGAATTGTCAGGAGCCCCCATCATATGGGGCCTGGCGCTCATGTTGCTAGTTCGAGCGGGTCATCGGAAACCTGTCGCTATCGCCGTCAGCGGAGGTAGTCTCAAGCGGGAACCTCGTTTGTGAGAAAATTGAGAGGACTTCTTGTCAATTCGCTCACGGGCGAGGGAACCCTCTTCCCACTTCGCCCGCAACTCGTGTTACTAATCCGAACGGGTCGCCCGAAAACTGTAACCGACGTGGCGCTGGGACTCCAGAGGATTGGCTCTTAAGGACGTTTCGAGCGGGAGCCAAAATCAGGCATGTCCCCTGCAGGCGAGTTGTGAACGTATAATAATAATCAAGAGTAAATTACGCTACCGACGAACCCCACATACTTACTTCAAATCTTATGTGCTTGCATGAATTTACGATATATGCGCAACTCTGCGTTCTGAGCCCTCGTCGCGAATGCTCCCCTATGTGTCGTCCAACGCCATATTGCTTGCACCTCCTCCCTCTTCCTAGCCTACTATCCTTCATCGAGGACATTTTCGAGCCAGCCAGCGGCCGCGGTGAGGGACCACCCCCTGCGCACCCTCTGTGGTGTCGAGAAAATGCCACGCCTGCTATGCCCTGGACGACCGTCGTGCATAGCGGCCGCGGTGAGGGACCACCGCCTGCGCACCCTCTGTGGTGTCGAGAAAATGCCACGCCTGCTATGCCCTGGACGACCGTCGTGCATAGCGGCCGCGCTGAGGGACCACCCTCTGCGCACCCCCTATGGCGTCGAGAAAGTGCCCGGCCTGTCATGCCCTGGACGACCGTCGTGCATAGCGGCCGCGCTGAGGGACCACCCTCTGCGCACCCCTGTGGTGTCGAGAAAGTGCCACTCCTGCCACGATCTGCGAGCGCGTCACGGATAGAGGCCGCGCTGAGGGACCACCCTCTGCGCACCCCCTGTGGTGTCGAGAGAGTGCCACTCCTGCCACGATCTGCGAGCGTGTCACGGATAGAGGCCGCGCTGAGGGACCACCCTCTGCGCACCCCCTGTGGTGTCGAGAAAGTGCCACTCCTGCCACGATCTGCGAGCGTGTCACGGATAGGCCGCGCTGAGGGACCACCCTCTGCGCACTGGCCACGATCTGCGAGCGTGTCCTAGAGGCCGCGCTGAGGGACCACCCTCTGCGCACCCCCTGTGGTGTCGAGAAAGTGCCACTCCTGCCACGATCTGCGAGCGTGTCACGGATAGAGGCCGCGCTGAGGGACCACCCTCTGCGCACCCCCTGCGGTGTCGAGAAAGTGCCACTCCTGCCACGATCTGCGAGGGTGTCACGGATAGAGGCCGCGCTGAGGGACAACCCTCTGCGCACCCCCTGTGGTGTCGAGAAAGTGCCACTCCTGCCACGTGTCACGGATAGAGGCCGCGCTGAGGGACCACCCTCTGCGCACCCCCTGCGGTGTCGAGAAAGTGCCACTCCTGCCACGATCTGCCTGTGCTGTCTGTGCTGCGGTGTGCTGTGCTGTGCTGTGATGTGCTGTGCTGTGCTGTGCTGTGCTGCGCTGAGCTGAACTGTGCTGAGCAGTGCTGTGCTGTTTTGTGCTGTGCTGTGCTGTGCTGTGCTGCGTGCGTGAGGAGGAGGAGGAGGAGGAGGAGGAGGAGGAGGAGGAGGAGGATTAGGAGGAGGAGGAGGAGGAGGAGGGGAGGAGGGCGGGTGTGGGTGAGACGCGGGTGCGGCGCGGGTGGGAAGAAAACCAGAACCCCACGAAGCACGTGGGGAATGAAAAAACGAATACTCAAAACATGGTCATTTTTTCTCGGCGATGGAAACAACTATATGCAGCTGTGGGCACCGCAATTCTGAATATCTTCTTCGGTGAAGCTCCTTATGGGGCCACGACGCGCTGCACTGGGCGGGGGGGAACGCATGCGGGCGGTAGCACTGGGGCCGTCGGTAGAGCTCCCCATGGGGCCACGAAGCGCTGTACAGGGTGGGTGAAAATGTCAAATTGGGTTTCCCGGACGCATGCGGACGGTCCCACTGGGGGCTTTGGTGGAGTTCCCTATCGGGCCACGAAACACTGTACTGGGTGAGCGAAAATGCCAAAGTGGGCTTCCGGTGCGCATTCGGACGGTCCCACTGGGGGCTTCGGTGGAGCTCCCTATGGGGCCGCGAATCGCTGTACTGGGTGAATGAAAATGCCAAAGTGGGCTTCCAGGACACATGCGAGCGGTCCCACTGGCGGCTTCGGTGGAGCTCCTAATCGGGCAACGAAACGCTATACTGGGTGTGAGAAAATGCCAAACTGGGTGTGCGGGGCGCTTGTGGCCACCCACACTGGGGCCTTCGGTGGAGTCCCCTATGGGGCCACGAAGCGCTGCACTGTGTGGGTGGAACTGCCAAGTTGGGTGTGTGGGACGCACGTGGGCGGTCCCACTGGGGGCTTCGGTGGAGCTCCCTATTGGGGCCACACAACGCTGTGCTGGGTGTGTGAAAATGTCAAAATGCGTGTGCGGGACGCATGCGAGCGGTCCCAATGGGTTTCGGTGGCGCCCTCTATGTGACCACGAAACGGTGTAGAGGGCGGGTAAAAATACCAAATTGGGTGTGCGGGACGCATGCGGACGGTCCCACTGGCCACGAAACGCTGTACTAGGTGTGGCGGACGCATGTGGCAACCCCTACTGGGGCCTTGGGTGGAGCTCCCTATGGGGCCACGGAAGCGCTGTAGTGGGTGTGGCGGACGCATGTGGCCACCCCCGCAGGGGCCTTCGGCGGATCTCCCCATGGGGCCACGAATCGCTGTACTGGGTGTGGCAGACGCATGTGGCCGCCCCCACTGGGGCCTTGGGCGGGACTCCCTATGGGGCCACGAAGCGCTGCAGTGGGTGTGACGGACGCATGTGGCCACCCCCACTGGGGCCTTAGGTGGAGTTCCCTATGGAGCCACGAAGCGCCGCACTGGGTGTGGCGGACGCATGTGGCCACCCCCAGTGGGGCTTTACGTACGTTGACTTTCCCATGGGGCCACGAATCGCTGTACTGGGTGTGGCGGACGCATGTGGCCACCCTCGCAGGGGCCTTGGGTGGAGCCCCGTATGGGGCCACGAAACGCTGTTAGATGTGGCAGACGCATGTGGCCACCCTCACTGGGGACTTAGGTGGAGCTCCCAACAGGGCCACGAAGCCCAGTAGTGGTTGTGGCGGACGCATGTGGCCACCCTCAATGGGGCCTTCGGTGGATCTCCCTATGGGGCCACGGAACGCTGTACAGGGTGTGGCGGACGCATGTGGTACCCCCACTGGGGGGTGGGGCACGGGAGTAGGAGACGCGGGGACCGTTTCTTCAAAACGAGGACCCAACATCACAGGATGGTTAGGAAATCGTCAAAACTCGTCGCCGGACTATGTTTACAATTTCGAAGCAGTCCCCCTGTAGAAGGACAGGCCCGATTGACGATTGGCGCTGAAGGACATTTCGAACGGGAGCCTCGCGGGTTGGCGAATCAAAAGGAAGCCGGCGGAAACCACGCGGCTCGTATGTGTAAAAAACAGCGAAAATGCGAGCGGAAACCGATGGCGCTGGTGACCACGGCGAAGCCGAAGCGTTTGCTCGTATTTTGGCCAAGCGAGCGCTTGTGCCCAAACTTTGAATTCGCATGTGGCCTTTTCTGTCCAAAACTTTGCATTTCTCCAACATGGATATTCACATGTTGCGTTTTTCCCCCAGCATGTGAAGACACATGTTGCGTTGTCCATAATGTCAATACAGATTGCGGTCGCCCAAGATGTGAGCCCACAGTTTGCTTTTTGTAATGCAGGCTCTCCGCTCTGCATGTGCAAGCAAAAATAGAAGGCTACTGCGTCACCGCCAACGGACGGCGATGCATTCTTGCTTCAAGCTGCCCCGACTAGGAGGAGGACGAGTACGAGGAGAAACAAACAGGAGGAGGAGGAGGAGGAGGAGGAGGAGGAGGAGGAATAGGAGGACGAGGAGGAGGACGAAGAGGAGGAACACCAGGAGAAATCAAACGCGAGGGCAAGGACGAGGACGAGGACGATGACGAGATCGGCCCCCGCGGGCGCCCAGGGACGGGCGGGCCCTCCTCCGCGACTGCGGGCTGCTCCTGCGGCTGCTCGGCGCCGTCCGCTTCGCCGCCTGCGGGCGCGCCGTCGGCGTCGACGCCTGCGGGAGCTGAGGGAAGAGGAGGAGGAGGAGGAGGAGGAGGAGGAGGGAGGAGGAGGAGGAGGAGGAGGAGGAGGAGGAGGAGGAGGGGGTGAGGAAAAGAGGAGGAGGAGAAGGAGGAGGAGGAGGAGGAGGAGGAGGAGGGGGGTGAGGAAAAGAGGAGGAGGAGAAGGAGGAGGCGGAGGAGGAGGAGGAGGGCGAGGAGGAGGAGAGGGGGAGGAAAAGAGGAGGAGGAGGAGGAGGAGGAGGAGGAGGAGGAGGAGGAGGGAAAAGAGGAGGAGGAGGAGGAGGAGGAAGAAGAGGAGGCTCCTGCCCGTGAAGAGGACGCGCCCGCTCGGAGAACGACGCGCCCTCCGGGTCGTGCTGCCCCGGGACCGCCCGACGGGCGCCACCCCCTCGGGCGACCGCGCGCCCCCCCCACACACGCCAAGGCGGGGCACCCCGGCCGTGGGAGGGACGGGCGTGGATCCCCCAACGGTTCCCCCCCCGCAAGCGACACGCTCTCCACGCCGTGCCGCCCCAGGCCGCCCCAGGGGCTCCGCTCCCTCGGGCGAGCGCACACCCCCACACGCCAAGGCGGGGCACCGTGGCCGTGGGAAGGATGGGCGTGGATACCCCAACGGGCCCCCCGCAAGAGACCCCCCCACCCGCCCGAGCCCAGGTGGGGTATCGGGTGGTGGGCCACCGCACGGGATGGGAAAACGTGGCGACCAGAACAATTGTCCCCTCCCCGGGCCCCCACGGGCAAACAGGGGCGACGACCGGGTTGCAATCTGCATGGGTTCCTGGGGAGGGCACCCAGTGGCACAGGTGCCAGGCGGGAGGAGGAGGAGGAGGAGGAGGAGGAGGAGGAGGAGGAGGAGGAAGAGGAGCGTGGAAGGTAGTACAGAGGAATGGGCCCAGGGCTCCGAGCGTACGCTCGCAACGCAGTCCCTCGGGGAGGAACGCCGACCCCCGAAGTCGCGCACCACCCGAGCCGCCAGGCTCCGCCAAAGTCGGCACGGCAGCGCTCCTCGCGTGCCCGAGAAGCGATACAATTTTTTGATCCGCGGGTCGAGAGCGCACCTCTTCCGGTCGAAGCTAAGCGGCCCGCGCACAGCTTTAATTGACAGAGGGGGGAAGGCAGAAGCAGGGGCCTCAAGTCAAGGCCAAGAGAGGGCAAAGCCCCAGAATCAGGCGGTGCCGAAGACGAGCCCGAGAAGCGACGCAGGCCTGCACCCCGAGCCCGCGCAGCGCAGCGAGGAGCAGGGCATCGGATCGGGCCAGTCAGAACCGATATCGCATCGGATCGACGGGATCGAACGTGGACCCTGGGGCCCAGACATCCGGCGATGGGTGGCGTCTCGATCTGGGCGTCCTTCCTCGAGATCGGCCTCCGGCGCCCGCGGTCGGGCCCCAGGGCGGTCACGCACGGGCCTGGGGCGGAAGACCACCATTCCTGGTGAAGGGGTCGGGACCGCTGCAGGCGGCGCGCCAGGGGAGGGAGGAAGAGGGGGCGGGCCTTCCTGAGGCCCGGAAGTTCCCCGGCCTTCAGAGAGGGTGCCTGAGCCTTCCCCGAAGGCCAGGGGGCCAGGGGGCCAGAGAACTTCTCAGAAGGCCAGGGGGCTTCTGAGAAGCCCCGGCCGCCTTCTGAGAAGGCCTTCTCCTTCTCACGCCCCCCCGGACGCGACGCCGATTCTCACCGACCTCATCCTCATCCCTTCTCGTCTCCCCCTCGCTCGCCGCCGACTCTGGGGCCGCGCCCTGACAGCATCGGATCCTCGGGTGTCTGGCGAGGCAGAGGGGCAGGAGGTCGGGGGCAGGCGGGATGGAGGGAGCGGGGGCGCTGCCTGGGAACTGTGCACAAGCGGGGGGGGGGGGGACAGAAGAGGGCGGCCGCGGCGGAGCGGTGCACTCGCACCATCAGGGACTTCGTGAGCTGCGTGGCACCCAGAGCCCACACGTTTGGGTCGGCGGCGGGCTGGATGCATCGCTACGTGAGCGAATTGGGCGCGAAGGAACGGGAAGGCAGGAGGGGAGGAGAGGGAGGGCCGAGGGACGGCCAGAACGCCCTCAGAACGTGAACACTTCGGGAGGTGCCTGAGTCAGGCCCAAGCGCTCGTCAACGGGCGCAGATCATCTGCGCCCGTTCTGCTGACCGTGGGTGTGCGGTGCATCTGAGATGCACCGCACACCCACGGTGAGGAAATGAGGCGTGCGACGGCCAGGATGGAACCCGATGGGGCACGAGCACACGCGTCGCCGTCTCGCAATCCAGAAAACGCAACCACAAGCAGGAAAGGACGACGAGCGGGACCGGTCTCTCTGGAGGAAAGCCAGACGGCGGTCAGGGTCAGACACACCATGAGCGTGGCCGCGTGGGCAAGAATCCATTGAGCAGAGACCGACCGTCCCGGCATGTCTATAGTCCTACCACGAAATGTTCCTAGAACCCCAAAATGCTCTAAGAACAAAAGCAACGTTCTTAGAACATAAACCCGATGTGAGAAACCAAGCCAATCCCAACCAGAAATGTCCTAAGAACATCCCGTGGGAACCACACACAGATTCTTAGAACATTGTCTGGAAGGGCTATCGGCACGCCAGGACGCTTCGCCACTGCTTGAATCCAGGTGGCCCCCAAAGATCTCGATCCGCCGTGGTCGACAAGGAGCGGCAGCTGGGCGCCGGCCTGCGCCGTGCAGCGCCCGCGCCGCACGGCCACCCGAAGGCCGCCGGTGCCGCCGAAGCGGCCGGAGTGCTTGCTGGATTGGAGGGGCACGCACAGAAAACGACACGAGTCCCAGGATTCCCCCCATATGCTGAACTTTTGGGGGGCTTGTCGTCTTCCCCCCCCCACTTCCCATGTTTTCCCATCTTTTCCTGGGAGTCAACGACAAAATCTGGAGACCTGGAAATGGGCACCAACACCAACACAGGGGGCTGCCTCCACAGGGGGAAGATGATCCTCGATTTCGGTGTTGGTAGTTATATTTCGGCCACCTTGGAAGCCAGAGTATGACCACCATCACCGAAATCGGGATCTTCTTCCCTCGGTGGAGGCACACCGCCGAAATTGGTGTTGGTGTCAACTTCTAGGCCTGCGAGAATGGCGTCTGTGTGTTCTTTGTTCCCCTCCTGATGGGTGCTGGGCCGGGCCGTGCAGCCCCAGGCAGGTGATCTGCCGGGGCGCCAGGCGAGGCCCCGCAGCTCCGGGGGCCTGGGGACCGCGGCGAGGCGGCCGAGCGGGGCGTTGCGGCCCGCGTGGAGGGGGGAGCCCACAAAGGACGTAGGCGCCCAGCTATGTTGGGAGGCAACTACTGGGGAGGTTTTCGTCGGAACGAATAAGGAGGATTACGCCCAATTTGGGAGCTGTTACGCCGGATTGGGCCTCGGACCAAGCTGGATCAGGCGGGATTAAGCGGGATTTAAGCGGGATCAAGCGGGATCAAGCGGGATTAAGCGGGATTAAGCTGGATTGAACCGGATTTCGGACCAGGGCGAAATCAGAATTTGACCTCCCAGGAGTTGCATCCGAAAGGGAGCAGGGAGCCCACAAAGGACGTTCGCGCCCAGCTACGTGCATGAGCACGGCCCCTCGATCCGCGGCGCTGGCCGCGTGATGCGGGCACATTCGGGCAGCGCGTATACTCTCGAAACCAGCGTGGATTCGTGTGCGTGTACGTCCTAGTTTCGCTCCTGCGGGAGGGGGGCGGACGGGCAGATGCGCAGCGCCGGCGCGCTAGCACCGGGCAGCCGCACGTCGAGGGAGAAAGAAAACATCCCAGGTGGCATGGGAGAGAGCGCAACAGCCCTGAGCACATGCAACAGACGAAACATGGGTACAGGGTCTGGGTTTGGGGCCCCTGCAGACGGCAGGGGAGGCCAGCGTGGCGCCCGAACCCAAAGAAAAGCCATGGGACACGTCTGCACCAAGGTTGGCGTCAGTGCTGTGGTTCCGCTCATACACGTGTGCCAGAGAACCACGCAGGAGGCGGGCCTGTCAAGTGCTTTGGGGGAACACTGGCGTGCCAGCCAGACCCCCGACGCCACAATTTGTCATAACGCCTGGAGGTCTCGACCCGTTCTCCGGAACCAGTTTTCCATCCTGCGCCGATTCTTGACAGTCACCGGGGCCTGGCAATGCCCTCTAGGCCCGACAGAACCCAAAACCTCTGCGCCAATGAATTAAAACCGTCTGCCGTGATCATTGCTCGTGACTCGAGGGGGTCTTCGGGGATCTTCTGACCCAGGTCAATCCAGACCCGGGTCAGCAGGAAACCAAAAAACTGCAATGCAAGAAAAATTACCCTGGCGACGTACCCAACCCCTGCGCAAAAGCGGGGCGCAAATAGTTTAGGATACTTTATAAGGGGGCGATGACGGAGCGAGGGTTACATTTGTCTGCAGACGGAATTCGGGAGACTCGCAGGACACTGGCTACAGGAAAAGGGCTTGATAAAGCTGATGAGTTACAATTCCTGAGCACTCCTAGCCACTTCGAAAACGGGGATCACAGCAGGCCTCGAAAGTGGCGACAGTTTCACAGATCGCAGCCCCGCAGGGATGGCGAGGTCTAATTTGGGTCCGCGCGTGGCGTCACTGTGCTGGGCCCCCCAGCAGGCCTCGAAAGTGGCGACAGTTTCACAGATCGCAGCCTCCAGGGGATGGCGAGGTCTCATTTGAATCTGCCCGTGGCGTCACTGCGCTGGGCCCCCCAGCAGGCCTCGAAAGTGGCGACAGTTTCACAGATCGCAGCCCCCAAGGGATGGCGAGGTCTCGTTTGAATATGCCCGTGGCGTAACTGTGCAGGGCCCCCCAGCAGGCCTCGAAAGTGGCGACAGTTTCACAGATCGCAGCCTCCCCAGAGATGGCGAGGTCGAATTTGAATCCGCGCGTGGCCCTCACTGTGCTGGGCCACCCAGCAGGCCTCGAAAATGGCGACAGTTTCACAGATCGCGTCCCCCAGGGATGGCGAGGTCTCATTTGAATCTGCCCGTGGCGTCACTGTGCTGGGCCCCCCAGCAGGCCTCGAAAATGGCGACAGTTTCACAGATCGCAGCCCCCCAGGGATGGCGAGGTCTCATTTGAATCTGCCCGTGGCCCTCACTGTGCTGGGCCCCCCAGCAGGCCTCGAAAATGGCGGCAGTTTCACAGATCGCAGCCCCCCAGGGATGGCGAGGTCTAATTTGAATCCGCGCGTCGCCCTCACTGTGCTGGGCCCCCCAGCAGGCCTCGAAAATGGCGACAGTTTCACAGATCGCAGCCCCCCAGGGATGGCGAGGTCTAATTTGAATCTGCGCGTCGCCCTCACTGTGCTCGGCCCCCCAGCAGGCCTCGAAAATGGCGCGACAGTTTCACAGATCGCAGCCCCCCAGGGATGGCGAGGTCTAATTTGAATCTGCGCGTCGCCCTCACTGTGCTGAGCCCCCCAGCAGGCCTCGAAAATGGCGCGACAGTTTCACAGATCGCAGCCCCCCCAGGGATGGCGAGGTCTAATTTGAATCTGCGCGTCGCCCTCACTGTGCTGGGCCCCCCAGCAGGCCTCAAGAAAAGGCGACAGTTTCACAGATCGCAGAACCCCCCAGGGATGGCGAGGTCTCATTTCAATCTGCCCGTGGCCCTCACTGTGCTGGGCCCCCCAGCAGGCCTCGAAAATGGCGACAGTTTCACAGATCGCAGCCCCCCGCAGGCAAGACAGGAAGAGGCAGGGAGGGAGGAGGAGGAGGAAGGAAGGAGTGGAGACCACACTGCTCTATTCAAAACGAGTACCCAACCAAGGAGGGTTGGGAAGAAACTTGCAACGCAGGTCTTCGCACACCCGGGTCAGCCAATACGCGCGGCCGCCTCGCGGCCACGAGCGGCTCGCTAACCAGGGTCAGCCAGAGGGAGTCTTCGCAGGATCCTGCAGGATCCGGTGCCCCGGCTGGCCCCCGTCTGCATCGACCCCCGCCCCTTCGGCTCCGAGGTCTGGGTAGCCGGCAGGCCCCGGCACCCGCGTCAGCGGAGGCGGGGAACGCAGGAGCCCGGGGCGCGTCGGGGAGGCGGGCCCCGCGGGCAGGGCGAGAGAGGACTCGAAGCGGCCCCGGGCACTGCGCCCCAGTCTGGCGCAGGGTCCAAGCCTTGCTGGCCGCGGGCCCCAGCATTGGGTCGGGCCTGTCCCCCTACAGGGGGCTTTTGGGCGAAAAATTCAGAAAAATACCCCAAAAATCCTCCAAAAATGCTCGAACATAGTCAAACAATAGTCCCCAGACTACTTCTTGACTATCTTTGAATATCCCCCCCGGAGAGGAGACGGGCCCGACTTCACCCCAGCACCGGCTCTGCCTCTGCCGCTGCCTCTGCCAGGGGCGTGGCCTTCGCCCGTGGCCAGATCCCCGCGCCTGCTCCGCTCGGCCGCCTCGCTGCCGCGCCTGGCCCCAGGCGGCCCAGGCAGCGACGCCCTCGGCCTGCACGCTCCGGGTCCTCGAGGAGCTGCGCGACGACGCGCACCGTTCGCTTGGAGTCAACGGCGGGTGGCCTCGTGGGCAGGGAGCCTGCCTGCACCAGGGTGCCAGGCTCCAGCAAGCATGCAGGCTGCCTGCACGTGGAGGCGCCTGACCTGCGCGTCGGGGCTGTCACCAGGGCGGCGGCCCCCTCGACGATGCTGGCATGAAGGGGCCCACAAATACACACAAATACACACAAATAAAGATATTCCCCATATTTTCCCATGTTTTCTGGGTTTTTGTCATCCCCCCACTTCCCATATTTTCCCATATTTTCCTGGGGATCGACGATTCATTGTGTCTGTGTGTTTCTTCCCCTCCTGATCGTATCAGCGCGGTACATCCTCGTGGGGTGTCCAACATCGCAGCCAGCGCGCCGTCGCAACCAATCGCTGGTGCGCCCCTGGAAGCTGCTGCGGCAGCGGGCGGGGGCGGAGGTGGCGCCTTTGCCAGGGCGGGGCACGGTCCCAGAGAGCACGTGAGCTCTCGCTCTGCGGACTGGTGGGTCGGTCGGCTATCGGCGCGGTGCCGGCAGCCGCCTCATCGTCAGAGGCATCGACGGTGTCCACCTGAGCTGCGGCCTGCGCAACCCTGAGGGCCTCGCGTAAGCCCAAAGCGTCTTGAATAACCCCCCGGGCTATAATGGGAACATGATTAATTTTTCCGCCGGCTTATTGACGGATTGGGGCCCCGACAATAGTTGGAAATGAATTATACTCGTCGGCGGATGCATGAGAGGTCATGAGAAGTGCTCAAAAATCCCATAACTCAACGCCTGGCGGCCCCCTCCTCCTCCTCCTCCTCCTCCTCATCATCCTCCTCTCCGACACACCACCGCCACCGCTGCTACGCGCGGAGGAGAGGAGGAGGAGGAGGAGGGGGAGGGGGAGGAGGAGGGGGAGGGGAGGAGGAGGAGGAGGATGAGGAGGATGAGGAGGAGGAGGACGGAGGTGGAGGAGGAGGGAGGGGAAGGAGGAGGAGGAGGCGGGACGAGATTCTATTCCCCGCCGAGAGCTTAGGGGGGGGAATGATGAAAGACTCTCTGCGGTTAACTCACTGCCCTGCTCCTCACCGTTTCAGTCCTGGTCGCTATCCTCCTTCTTGGTCGCAGTGGCGCCCTCCGCTTGTGGCCGAGGCGATGCTGTGCTCGGGTCCAGGGCCGCATGCCGCGTTGCGGGCGGGCGGTCTGAACACTGGGGCGGCCGTCGGCGCAGCGGCCCTCGCTGGGGCAGGGGCGGCGCAGGACGGGCCCGGAGGCGGGCTGCGCCGAGCCTGTGAGGATCCCGGGCTCGCAGCGGTGCCTGGCGAAAACAGCGCTGCAGGGACCGCCATGCTCGGGGGTGGGGCTGCTGCCTTTCGGGTCGCAGGCGGTGTCGGAAGGCACTGCAATTGCGAAGTGCACGGGCCGTCGGGACGGAAGTTCATCGGCCGAATGTTCGGCCAGCGCCCTTATGGTCCCGCCTGGGCGACGCTGATTACGCGCAAACACACACACACACACACACACACACACACACACACACACACACACACACACACACACACACACACACACACACACACACACACACACACACACACACACATATATATATATATATATATATATATATATATATATGCGTACTGGGAGTATACGGTGTATGAGTATGTAAACACCTCAGGGTTCTGCGACCCCCCCCCGGGGTAACAGTGCGGGGCCGTTCTCACTATGTCACTGGCCTCTGGATCTGCAAGGCGGCCCAACAGGTTCTCGCACCCTGCTGAATCATCCACCGCCTGCCCCACGCTGTCCTTCTTCTGCGCACCAGCCCGCCCTGCGAATCGCAAGGCCAAAGTCGGCACCGCAATCCTGTGGCCTGTCACGAGGACCGTCCGTGGATTGCCACGAGAGCCGCACCGACGCACGTGTTGCCTCCCTTTGTGTATGTGGCATTGTCGATTGCGACCCAGTTCGAGTTCCCCCATTTGCGCCAGGCCCCCCCTCAGACATCATCCTCACAACCGCCCAGTGTGCGCAGACCCTGTACACCAAAATCCTTGTGCTGCCGGCGTGTACACCTACTTGCTGTCTGAGATCACGCCAGATGCGTTCCTGAATTTGGGTCGCCATGTTCGGGTCAGCGATAGTCCGTCACAGGCTTGCCGCCGCTTCCACTAGAGACCAGAGTGAGATGCGTGGCGATGTGGAGTGAAAGGGGGCGCTGAAGCATCGCCATCTCGGGAACATCCCGAAGCCTGAGTGCTCTTTTTTCGGGCCGGGCGGAAGGGGGGGATAGCAAGGGGGGGGGTGAGAATAAGCTCACGTAGCTGATTTCCCCGGCGCCTCCCGGCGCCGGGAGGCGCCCATGTGTCGAGGAATGGGCCCGGCGGCGGGGCCGAAACCAGCTGCACGCAGCAGATTTCGTGACCCCCCCTTTCCCTATCCCCCCCTTTCGTCCAGCCCGTTGGCGCGTTGGCGGGCGCAGGCGAGACTGCAGAGAGCCGACGTGCCGCGACATACACACTGGCCGCACTGGGAGCTGGGGCGGAAAGGCGCACGACGGCGGCGGAGCGGGAGAGGCCCTGGGCCCGGCGCACGGGGGAAGCCTGAGCGGAGGAAAGGAAGGACGAGAAGAACGAGGAGGAGGAGGAGGAGGAGGAGGAGGAGGAGGAGAACGAGGAGGGTTCCGTCCGTTCGCGGATGGTGCACCGGTAAGCGCACGCGGCGCGACTCGCAGAGGCAAAAAGAGGAGGAGGAGGAGTAGAAGGAGGAGGAGCAGGAGGAGGAGGAGGAGGAGGAGGAGGAGGAGGAGGAGGAGGGGGGTCTGGGAGGAGCAGCAGCAGCAGCAGCAGGAAGAGGCAGGAGAAGGAGGAGGAGGAGGAGGAGGAGGAGGAGGAGGAACACCAGGAGGAGTAAAGGGCAGGACATGGATCGAAAGGAGGATCTGGAGGAGAAGGAGGAGGGCAGGAGGATCTGGAAGAAGAGGAGGAGGCAAGAACTCCGCGTCCTCCCTCGTCGCCTCGGCGATCTGGGGCGCCCTCGTCGCCGTCCTCCCCGTCCGCCGCGCCGATGCCCAGCTCCCGCGCGGCGGCCAGCGCGCGCGCCCGCGCCGCGGCGCGCTCCGCGTCTCGCTCTCCGGCGCGCTGGCGCGCCCTCAGCGGGGGATGGGGGAGGGGGGGAGGAGGCGAGGCAGGGAGCCAAGCCTCGGACGAGCATTGGAGTCGATAGCTCGTACGAGTTGAGGGAGATTAGGAGGAGAGCTGCAAGACCGCAGGGCCACCTCCTCCTACGAGGAGGCTGCCCAAAGGCCGAGCAGCACGCCAGGAGGGGCGAGGCAGGAGAGGCAGAGGGGAGGTGAAGGAGGGAGAGGGAGGGGGAGGGCGGAGGGGAAGGAGGATGGGAGGGAGGAGAGGGAGGCCCAGAGATGCTCGCGTCGCGAACAGCAACAGGACGGAAGGTGTTTTGCCATGTTCGGGCTGTGGGGGCCCTGGCCAAGCCACGGGACTGTCAAACATCAACTCGGGATGAAAAACCGGTCCCGTGGAAAGGATCGGGACTTCGGGTGACCCCGAGCTGAAATTACAATTCAAAACTCTTGAGAATAATTGCTAGAGACCAGCGTCGCTGAATGACTGAACGGTCTTGCGAAGGCCAACTTCGAGATCGTGCAACTTCTTAGCGCAACGCAGTGCCTGGGTTAGGATGGGTGGTTTATGCCGATTGCATTGCCAAAGGCTGTGGTGCAACATCTGGTTCGTAAATGATTTTCCATCTTGCCCTCTCCATTTGGGATCCAGCTGGAAGGCCCAACCGGAAAGAACTCCCCAATGAGAGATTTCATTTGGAAATTACCACTTGGGGGCTCTGCCTTGGCGAGCTTCCCAGATGGATGTTCACCCCGGAATCGTTCCGGGATGAAAATCTATCTGGGACACCCCCAGGGCAAAAAAGAAAGCTCTCAGGGAAAAGCGGGGGAAGGTACCCCAGCCCCAAAAAATATCATTTTCAAAATGAAATCACTTAGTGGGGAGCGGTTCTTCGCGTCTGGGCTCCCCAGTTCAGTCTCGGGAGTACACCAGATGGACTTTCATTCCAAGTGAAAGTCCATCTGGGACCCCCCCCAGGGCAACAAAAACGCTCTCGGGGAAAAGCAGGGGGGTGTACCCCAGCCCCAACAACTTATAATTGTCCAATTGAAATGAAATCTCATTTTGGGACGCCGTCTTTCGCGCCCGAGGTCCCCAGTCTAGCCTCGGGATCGCCCCAGACGAATTTTCACCCCGGAACCGTTCCAGGGTGAAAACCCATCTGGGACCTCCCGGTCCAGCAAGGCAAGGCGTTCTCGGGGACAAGCGGGGGGGGGGGTGAACCCCAGCCTTAAAAATATTCGCTTTCCTAATGCAGTCTCTCCTTGGGGATCCTTTTTTCGCATCTGAGCTTGCCACTCCAGTCTCGGGAGCGGCCCAGCACCCTGGAACCGTCCAGGGTGAAAACCCATCTGGGACCCCCCCGGTGCAAAAAGGTGCTCTCGGGGATAAGCAGAGGGGTCTCTGATTGGGACGTCTTTTCTCGCGGCGGGGCTTCCCACCCAATCCAATATCGAGACCGCCCCAGATGGATTTCTACAGCAGAACCGTTACAGGGTGAAAAACCATCTGGGACCCCTCCAAGTGCAAAGAGACGCTCTCGGGGATAAGCGGGGGGGTATATCCCAGCCCAAACATTTTCACTTTCAACATGGAATCTCCTTTTGGGGAAGCCGTCTTTCGCGCCTGGGCTCACCAGTCCACTCTCGGGAGCGCCCCAGATGGATTTTCACCCGGGAACCGTTCCAGAGTGGAAGTCCACAGGCCCCGCAGAAGCCAAACTCATTGATTTCCCTTACGGCTTTGAAGGTTCTATAAGTTGCTTCTTTTTCGGCCTTCCGACAGACTTCCGACAGCCCAAGAGGCCCCCACGATCCCCCCAAGAAGGCTCCAAAGGCCTCCAAGATGACCCCAGTACGGCCCAAGAGGCCTCCAAGACGGTCCCAAGAGGGCCTCAAAGACGCCCAAGATGGCCTCCGAGACTGCCCTGAAGCGCCACAAGAGGGTCACAAGTCGGTTCAGAGAGGCATCCACGACGGCTTCCGACGGCGTCAGACGGGCCAGGAACGCCTGAAGACGGCCAAAGCGGCCCCGAACAAGCCCCCAGAGGCACCCAAGAGGCCCAAGGAGGCCCCCAAGAGGCCTCCGAAGTGTCCCCGGGAAGCTTCCAGGAGATCCCAAGAGTAACCAAAGAGGCTTCCAAGAGGCGACCTTCTCCTTCTGTTCCTTCTCCTGCCCTTCCTCCTCCTACTTCTCCTCTTCCTCCTCCCATCCCCTTTTCCTTCGTCTCCTCACTATCCTCTTTCTCACGTGTTCCCCGAAAGGCTTCAACTAAAGCTGGGGGAACACAGGGTCTGATAGCTCTAAACTTATGTTGCTCCCATCGTACTTAAGGACCACATCCCAGAAATAATTTCGAGCACCCAGAAAAGTATTGAAACAGTGTCGAACGAGAATCGCCTCCCAGGGACCAACGCGTGAAAACCCTCCAGTTTCAGTATATTCCTGGCGCTCGGGATTTTCTGGTGGTCAAGGCTGAAGTAGACTGGAATATCATACTCTAGCCCAAGTTTCGGCCACGTAGGCGCTTCCAAAAAGGCAGAGGTCGGCGGTGATTCGCCGTAGGCGTCTTCCATATAAAGTGCTGTATGTGTTGACGTAGGCATAAAGCTGGAGCTACACATGGTGATACAGGAATAGGGGTCCGCAGAAAAAAACATGTGGGCACACCGTTGGAGAAGCATATATGACGTAGGCATGAAAAACTGGAGGGATGCGCAATGCTCGACAAGCGGGAAAATGGTGGCGGTAACTGGCTCCGCGCCTGAGTTCATTGAGCGCCTGCTCCAGCGGCTGTCGAGGCTGGTTGCCCGGGGCTTGCCACCAGTTGACGACCCCGTTGAAGAGCCCGCCTGAGGAGAGGCTTCCGGACAAGGAGGAGCGCGAGGGGGAGAGCGAACGAGGGGGGGGGCATCCCACCAGCACCCTGGACATTTGCGGCTTGGTGGATTAGGCCTTCCGAAGCAACTTACACGCCGGTCGGAAGCAGTGTGCACAAGCATAGCGTGGGGAGGCGGAGAAAGTAGGTTGGGCTCAGGCCCTGCAGGAGAAGAACGAAGCACAGAGCAGAGGCATGGCGATTCGTGAGGCAGGAAGGCGCTTGACGCAGATCTCAGACCTGGGGATCCAGAAAGACTTCCTTTCTGCGACCGACGCGCATCCCCGTTTCGGGGAGGGGCTGCCCCTGCCCCTGCCCCCCGTCGCAAGACGTCTCCCCCCTGCCTGTGGACGGGGTGCGGCTGGCAGCCCGGCGCGGAGGCCGCCCTCGGCCAAGCGCGGAGAGACGGGCGAGACCAAGGATCACAGTGCGTGCTGGGGGAGCCTTGGATGTGAGGGTTTGGGGGGGCCGCTTGGCAGTGGCGCCCTTGATTCTTCTCCTCGCTGTCACACCCGGGCCCCCGCAATCCGAGCGCAAGCTGACGTGAGACAACCAGCCATGAATCACAACTCCTCACCTCTGAGGTGCCGGTGCGGTTTTGGGGTCAGGTCGCCGATCTCTTGTTTATATCTGGCTGCGCTTTCTTGGGGCCCTGTTGGGGTTCTAAAGGGGCCATTTTGGAACACCTGTGGAGCTCTGCTGGAGCCTCTTGGGCCATTTGGAATCCTGTTGGGGCCGTTTGGGTACCTGCTGGGCACCAGAGACGCTTCATGTCTTGGCCCTGCAAAGTTTCGAACAACTTTGGAGCCATTGTGGGGCCGCTTAGGGACTCTCTTGGAATCCTGCGAGGCCGGCGACGCGCAAGAACGACCCCAGGCAAGGGTAACCTTTTGCTGCGCATCTTTCGGGGGGCGCGGGGGGGAGGTCAAACCCTAGCACGCACGCTGCTATCGTATCGCATTGCCGATCAACTGGGGGCCCTGGTGTGCCCGCAGCAAAGGTCACTCCCGCGAAGGGTCACTCTCATGTATACTCCAGATTTCGTAATAAAAGGGAGGGGGTCTGGACCCTCCAAGACAAGCCATTTCAGACTCCCCCCGTGGGAGAACCCTCCAAAACATCGTCCCCAGACCCCCCCAGGCCCTCCAAGATAGCCTGGAAGAGACCCCCCCCGAAATGAGACCCCCTCCCTTTTATTACGAAATCTGGAGTAGCCGATTGGGGGCCTCTGGGGCCATCTTGGGCCCATCCCAGGGCGGTCTGTGGCTCTCTTGGGCGATGCCGGGACAACGGTCTTGAGGTCTTGGGGAGCCTATCGGGAGACAACAAGCGAAGCGGCCACAACCATGGAAAAAGAAAAATCGCTTTCGAGTGGTTTTGGCCTCTTGGGGTCATCCTGAGGAGGCCCCGTTGCCTCTTCGGACCTTCTTGTGGTCGTCTGGAGGCTTCTGGGAGGTCATCTGAGACCATTCACCCATCGTGCGCCATTTTGGTGGCTGCATTGGAGACCATCTCGCTTCGTGCCGCCTTACCGCTGCCAAGACGGAAGCCACGTACGCCATCCCGTGGCCGAGGGGCGGTTGGTTGGTCTTGGTCTGACCCGTTCTCCCATGGGATGTCCCGCGTCTCGCCTGGCCACGCGTTCGTAACGCGCGTGTTGTCGACGTTCAGCTTGTCTCTAGCCCCCCATGGTCTCATAGCCTCGCGAAGCTCCTGGGGGCCTCTGGGAGCTTGATTGAGCCCTACTGCCACCACGGTTGGCTCCAACGAGCTTCCCATGACTGAAAGGTTTTGGAGGGCATCTGTGGGCCATCTTAGGGGCGCGCCAACCAACTTCCAGCATGCCTCCAGACGATACCGAGCAAGCGCCAAGGCCCGGCCCGAGGTGGCAGTGGAGTGCCCCCGGAGGCCCTCGAGAGGCCCGCCTCGCCAGAAGCTGTTGCTGTGTAGATGCTTGCGCCTTCTCGCTTTGCCATGTTCAACCTGCTTGAAAGGCCTCAAGGTTGATTGGCCCACGATGGCTAAGAGCCCAAACAAGGGACTCGAAGACGACAGCGGCAGCCCGAAAGGCCCCCAAGAGCACGCCAAGCTAGCCCCGATTCGAGAGCAGTGTTGCTTAGCTCTGAGAGGAAACCTCAACTCAGTGCTCCCGCACTTGTTGCTCTTTGCCCCACCCAGAACTGCCCCGAGAGATTCCTAAGATGGCCTCAAGACGCTTCAGGAGGCCCCCAGAGGTCCCAAAGTACAGTCGGCCCGTAGAGTAAGGATGCGCGACAAGGATGCAAGGGCCTTGGACGCCCATTTCGAAGCTTTTGAAGCGGGGCGCGGCCAGCGAAAGCGGCGAAGGATGGACCGATGAGGCAAGGATGCAAGGGTACCCTTGGGAAGGTTGCCAATCCTTACTCTGCGGGTTGACTGCATGTCACTATCAGAGGCTGCTCTAGATGACCCCAGCTGCAGCTCGCCAGATGCCCCCTCGCTGATCCCGCACCTGCCCCTCCCGCGAGACGGACGCCTGGCAGTCCTTCTGGGCCAGGCTGGCAGGGACATAGACGAAACCCACGCGTGGCGAACGTCTCCTTGCCCGCACCCTCGCGGTCTGGACTCCTGGGCGCCGTCCAGCAGGTATGCGCGGTCGCACGGATGCGTTCCGCGCGGGCCGCCAGCGAAAGAAGGCCCTGCCTGCGCGGGGCCGCGGCCCAGCGGGCTGGTGCGCGAGGCCGCGGACACGAAGACGTCTCTTGGGATCCGACGTCGTGGAGAACCATGTAAGCATACAGTAGGGTGCCCTCCACAAGAAAAACATCCACCAGAAGCCCAACCCTGAGACCCCAGGACGTCCATCGATGGTTTGGGTGTGGGAACGCCACGCCTTCCACAGCAAAACCATCGAAACCCAAGTAACCCATGGCACCCTGGAGGCAAGCAGGATGTTTCTTGGCAAGGGCCTCCGCTTACACCAAAAAGCGGATGAGTGAGATGAATAGTGAGACCGATCATGAGATCGATAATGAATCGTGGGATCGCTAAACTGGGAACCCGGGAACCCGGGAACCCGGAACTGCACCGAAACCAGCCCGGAACCAATAACCAAGAACCCGGAAACCCGGAACCAGGGACCGGGAACCCGGGAGCCCAGCGGGCTAACAAAATCGGCGGGACACTTACGCCAAATCTTCAATTTCCGCTAGGACCCCTTCAGTGCAAGCACTGATTCGGGGGCCCTCCACCAGGAACCGTCCACAAGAAACCCAACCCTGAGACCCCAGGACGACCATCGAGTTGTTGGGTGTGGGAACGCCACGCCTTCCACCGCAAAGAACCATCGAAGCCCGAGCAACCCTGGGCGCCCTTCGGGCTGGGCGAAAGGGGAGGATATCAAAGGGGGGGTTTGAGAATCAGCTCACGTAGCTGACTTTCCCGGCGCCGGAAGGCGCCCGCCCGACGGCGGGGCCGAAACAAGCTGCATGCAGCAAATTTCGTAACCCCCCCTTTCCCTACTCCCACCCTTTCGTTCGGCCCGAATGGCACGCCCCACCTCGTCGACAGCCTTCTGGAGCCTGTTCGTTGATTCGGGCCAGTCACGTGCGCGACCGGAGGGGGAGTTACGTCGCGCCGGGGACGCCACGGTGGAGGTGCGCCTGGGGTGCCGCAACATGCCCGTAAGCACCGCAGTGCGCCTGCGAGAAGCAATCGCCTACGGCCCGACACAACGCCATAAACATAACACATAAGATAAAAAAAACGCAATCTCCAGGAAAATAACAAAAAAATAAACATAAACTTATGGCGCTCTGCGCGGATTTCTTGGACCGCGCCGGACCCCCCTCCCTGGCGCGCGGAACGCGCCAGGGGCGGCGCCGGAGGCACCGCCAGGGGGGCCCCAGCGAAGATCCAAGAAATCCGCGCGGGGCGCCGAAAGTTTATGCGTATGGCGTTTTATGTTCTTTGACTTCTGCGGCAACTCATGGGAGTCAGATTGTTGGCTCTTGAGAACAGACGATGGTTGAGGCTACTCCACGCCATATCGTCACCAATCGACGTTGATCGACGCAAAATATATTGCATATCACCGATCATATCACCGATCCCCGACGCCAATCGACGATAATACACTCTAAAGACGGCGTTACGAGAATGCACAAGGCTCCCATGGCTTGCTTCCCAAACATGGACTGACCGCACTCACCTGCCTGTTGTCTTTTCCGCAACCAGCATGTGGTGATGGGTCCCCGTTCTGAAGAGACGGCGCCCCGCGTTCCTTCATTCCTCTTCTCCTCCCCATCTTTCCTCCTCCCAACCTCCCGCTGCCCTCCGGAAGTCCTCATCTCCATCATCATCATCATCATCATCATCATCATCATCATCATCAGCATCATCAGCATCATCATCACCATCATCATCATCATCGTCATCCTAATCATCATCATCAGCAGCATCAGCATCATCATCATTATCATCATCATCTTTAGCATCATCATCAGCAGAAACAGCAACAACAACATGACCATCACCAGCATCATCTTAATATGATGGCCCATGTCTTCCTCATCAATCATCGTCATCATAAGCATCATCATCCCCAGCATCATCATCATAATCGTCAGCAGCATCATCATCATCATCAGCATCATCATCATATTCATCATCATCATCATCATCATCATCATCATCATCATCATCACCATCGTCATCATTGTCGTTGTAACCATCGCCATCACCATCATCCACATCCTCACCATCGACTTCGTCAGCATCGTGCCGCTGCTCTCCACATGTGTACCAATTTTGGCACAGCCCTCACATGGTTCGTAGCCTTATAAGGAGTTCCGCCGGAGCCCCAGTGGCTGCGCTCACATGCGTCGCGCCCATGTCGGCACACCCCTCACACGGTTCGTGGCCCCACCAGAGGCCCCGGAGGCTGCCTTCACATGCGTCCCGGGCCCATGTCAGCACACCCCTCACATGGTTCGTGGCGTTCCACCGAAGGCCCCAGAGGCTGCGTTCACATGCGTCCCGAAGGCCCCAAAGGCGACACCTGCATGCTTGTCTCCCGCCCAGCAGAAACTCCAGGGAGCTCCAGCGAAGGTCCCAGGGCCGACGCACGCATGCGTTTGCC